AATCATACGTGACATGCCGTTGTGGCTGGATAAAAGTTTGTGTTTATTTTTCAAACACCTTCGTTTGATAGGTAGGAATGTAGCTATGAACAAGTACGTACTAGTAATATTAGTTATTTTGTTATTAGTTTATTATTAGTACCTATGTATTATGTATTACCAGTTAAATAGTAAAATAAATACATATAATGATAAATTAACTGTGGATTATTTCATTTACGTTGCGTTACGTGGCTTCCGTGTGGGTAGCTCGCTGTTTATTCCAAAATTAACAAAGTAGCTCAACACATTGAAGAGGTTGGCGACCACTGGTCTAGTGAATAACATATATATTGGGGGAACACTGCTCAGTATGCTTTAAGGATCTTCTTTCACTGCTTCTGCATACCAAAACAGCTAACTTACCGTATTCCGTTATAATTTCCATAAGGGTTGACAACGATGACCATATTATATCAATTTTGTTTTTGTCACCACCTCTTTTATATTCTGTTTGTATGAAATATATGTTAAATAAAGTTAATTGCTTCAAATTTTACCAAGCTAATGACACTTGATTGGCTGATAAATTTGAAAAAACCCGAGGCAACTCAAACTCTTGTTTGAAGGTGATTGACAATGTTTCGTGATGAATTTCACTAGTTCGGACTTCCATTGTCTACTATTTAAAATGATTTGAAATCCCTGAAACAAGTAAAAAAGAANAACACATATATTTTTCATAGTTAACCATTTGGTTTCCTTGAGTATATATGAAATTTTGTCATATTTTCCAATACCATATATATACATCTAAGACATGATTTTTTGAAGTCTACAAATGTTTTTTTATCCGTATATAACAACACAATATGCAAAATGACTCAGCACAAGTGAATTTGTTAATTTTACTTTCATACTCATTGATAATGAATGACAACGTGGATAAAGCATTTTCAAACTCATGTAACTTCTATGTAAATATTTTGTGACATGTTTTGTAAACCTTAAATTTGCGTCAATTTCGATGCATAAATTCTTTGCCACTTTCCCGGAGCATATTACTGTATCAGCAAAAATAATATTAAAATATCTTTCCACCAAGCTACGATCAGTACTACAAACAGGCAGATTAGTTTTTTCAAATTAATTTTGAGGTTATGAGCTTCATATTCTAAAATAAGATAAGCTAGATCTTCATTTAATTTTAGATTGGCAATAGCAACGTCATTAGAGTGAAATGATAGATTAAGTTGTGTGTCATCCGCATATATATGAGAACGAAAATGTCTCAAAACAGAAACTAGATCACAAGTGTACACGCAAAAAATAGGGGCTCAATAATCGATCTCTGAGGCACTTTGAGTTTAATTAATTCAATGCTTCATTTTTCTCTTTGAATGAACGATCTTTGAGATAGTTTTTTATTAAATTTGTAGCAGGTTCAGAGAACCCGATAAAGTCAAAAATAGCAAATGAAATCGGAAAACTAATAATATCAAAAACCTTGGAATAGTCTATAAATATTAAAGCAGTCGTATTACCTCTATCAGCAGCTTCAAGAATATCATCAGTTATTTTCAAGAGAGCAGTTGTACAGCTGTATTCTTTACGAAATCCTGTCTGGTTCATTGGTAAAATATTAACGAAATTTAAATAGCATTTGATTTGAAAACTCATAATATTTTCCAAAATCTTTCAACTTCAAGGTAGTAAGCTAATGCGGCGCAGATCGTTCAGGTATTTTAGTTAGATATTTTAGGAAAAGCCAATATCTCAGAAATCTTCCACATTTCAGAAAATATATTATCTTGAAAACATACATTTATAATATTAGTAAGATATGGTAATATTATAGTACAGCATAGAAGTAGCTAAGTATCTATACCAATTTCATCTGAACCTATGGCTTTTGTTTTTATTTCTGAAATGCATTTGTAAACAGTATTTTCTGTTACCGGCTCAAAATGAAATTTGTCATTAGATATATTATTTTTCAAATAACTCTAATAATAATTTAATAATTCATTACTATGTGTTAAATGTTGATCAGAATTACTCATGAAATATTTACTGATTTCGATAGGATCAAGTATTTCTGACAATTAGTTTTTTACGCGAGAATCTATCAAGATCTCTGAATTTATTCCATAATAGTTTACTATTATGGTTACCACTCATAACCTGATTAAGATATGCTTTTTTCTAATTTCTTATCATGATATTGGTTTGGTTTATTAGTAATTTATAATAGTTACAATCATCACATATGTTGATATTATTTCCAAAACATATGACCAGTCAAACTCAAGCTTTCGCCGTCAGTACCGATTCATGTTCCTTTAGTCTAGTCTGGTGCATTTATATGGTGTGATAATTTGATAATATTTCAAGACAATAAATAAGCAAATGATGCATCTAAAAATATATTGGTATGGTATGAATGGTATTTGTGAATAGAATTCCATACTTCAATCCGAAATTAACTTTTATTGATCTTTCATTGTGGAAAAATTTCTCGCACAACCCTTGATAGAGTAATTTGAAATATCAGCATTTTGTCATTGGTTGAATTCACAAAATTAATATAAATATCAGGAAGGTATTCCATTAACAAACTTAATTAACTCTTTCCTGCACGTTTGCAATGAAGTACGTGAACCTAATATTTTTAATTGTATTTTTCAGGTCCGACAGACGTAAACATGGCAATGAAAGACTGGTTTCGGAAGATACAACCCGTTCAACTGTACGTGGTCCTACTGTTGACCATAGCCTTCTTCGTGATCGAACTAATTGTTAGTCACATCACCCATGCTCTCACACTTTTGATGGACTCTTACCACATGCTCTGCAATATCATGGCATTGGCTGGATGTCTCATCACCCTCAAGGTATGCGTTTGACGTACGTGTCTTCAATCAATCGGACCTAACCAAGGGTACTTCTAAAAAGGTCGGGGCACGCACTGACTTGAAATAAGCACTGAAGTTTGTTGAGAAATGATAAATTGATATATCTGATGTTCAATCTGGTCTTATACGAGTACGATTATTTGTGTCATCATCAATTTAACATGAAAAGAAGATGAAGAGAAAAATATTTCAATCGAGGTTATATT